TCTCATATTTAGAGTTCAATTTCCAAGGAACTGACCTAAACTAGATTCACCTACTCGACTATTCCATCTGTGAAGATTATTATCATCACTGAACGTCTTAAACAAAAAGTATAGTAACGTCATATGCAAAAGATGTCCCATGTTGTCTGCACCTATGCACATCTAAATACCAAGCCTCTTTTCATTCTTTTATGAGAGGAGAAGGCTATATCAGTTCTTGTAAGAGAAATATATGGTGTTCGGGCTTATCTTTTCGGGGTAAGGTCAAAGTCCTTGTTTTACAACTTTTTAGTCGTGTTACTTTGTCAAAGATCTATAACTCTGAATCATTTACAGAGTTTTTTAATTCAGTTGATATTCAAAGAATTGCAAGTTTGCAAACGTGATTCATTGCTTACCATCTTTAAAGTAATTGAAATGTTCATGTAAAAAGAAAAGTTCAAAAAAAAGTTACACAAAAAATATGAGAAAGTTCAAAAAACAAATTCAAACAGGATGCTGTAAATTCAATCCAATTCTTGTTATGCATTTTTTGTACGATTCTCTTGAATGAAAAGTAGTTCTCGATAGTGCGCCCTGGGACACCGCTATGATATTCGCAATGAGCGTTCTCATTATACTACCTGGGGTACGGGGGCTTCATGGGTTTCTCTAGATATGGCGATACAACATGTGTGTCAAACAACTATTGGTAAAGCTTTTTATATGTCATGGGAATAGGATCGAAATGTTCTCATTTTTTATGAGACATGTGAATGTAATTATAAAGAGAAAAATAATGCAAAATATGTAGGAATTCATGATACATGCAATGTTTGAGGCATTGATCCAAAAATGTGTCTGTTATTGTAAATAATCCTTATTGGGGATAAAAGTGTTACGTCTTAGGAGACAAAAAACATATTGAAGGTATAGATCCCGAACAACTTCAGACTAGTGATTCATCTTCAACCTTTTGATATCGCTAATTGAATACCCTGTCGAACTATTCCGGCTTATCTAGCTAAACTGTGCAAGTGACGAGTTGCTTGCTCCAAAAAATCTCGAATGAATGCATCTCCGACTTTCACTCTCTGCTAAGCTTGTTTCTAACGATAGTGCCATTGGAGCCCTCCATCCGAAGTTTATCTTCTTGTTTCTTGAATTCGTCAACAATGGTCTCTAGCTTGGCTAGGGTTTCGTCATCTTGTTCTTGTTGTCTTTGAAGGGATTCTTCAAGTCAGTAACATTTTTCTTGTATGCCCCTGCAAATTTTTGCCAACTTAAAAAGTTACCTTTTGGTGCGCTCGGCGTAAATCCCGATCCATCATGAGTATTCTTTAACCATAGCCGGACTTCTGAGCTTTTCATCTCTCGTATTATAACCCATTTGTCCATTACTGCAGATTATTTACGTCTAACGAACACGTTTTTTGGTGGATCAACACCTCTTTTGAATGATGCAAATGATGAAAATAAAATAAAATAAAATAAAAGAGAAGAAAAATGAAAAGAGTTAGTGAGGTGAAGATAATAATAAAAACAATCATGAAAATAAAAGTCCTACCCCACATGATATCTACCGCACAGGCTTATTAGTCTTACCCGGACATTATCTCTATCCCGCAAGTTGATTTTGAACAAGTCCTAACCGCATAAATTTCTAGTTCACATGCTTTGAACATGAAATAAAGCATGAAATAATATCAAAACATCCTAGGATTTTAGATGAGGTTTTGGGGTGGACTCTAATTCCCTATAATCTCCCAGTTTAGGTTCTAAAGAAGGTACTCGAGTTCTTCTTGCTGGTGCCCCCTTGGGCTTGCCAGACCCTTAGTCCTAAGCCTATTACAAGCTTATGTGGACTAAGTTAAACTCGAGAGAATACATTTCCTTATGCCCATACGGAGAATAAATTCACACGAAAGCATAAGGTATATGAATCCCGAAGGTTACTTGCTAAGCCCATACGGAGAATAAATTCTCACGAGAGCGTCGCTTTCACCCCCCCTTAAAAATGGGTTTGGAGCTCGGGTTTAGAACTTGACAATGAAAATTTTGAAAATCTGAAATCATTGAGAAAAACGTCAGTGCAACTATTTACTTGAAAAATAATCAAAGGTAAATAATTGGAATCGAATAAATAAATTAAAATTAAAATTTACTATTTTCGCATAAAAAGACAACCGAAAATTAATTCTGGCCTAACTCACTTACTATCCCCAGTGGAGTCGCCAAGCTGTCGCGGTCGTCTTTCGGGTGGGCCCGAAATTCATATTCGACTTGAATAAAACGGATTGAAGTCACCACCGATCTTTTATTTTAAAACAAATGGGTAGATCGGATACCTTATTTCTTACCTGATCTGCGTCTTACCAAAGATGTGTCGGATTCGAGAGTCAGTTACAGTCAAGGAATGATTAGGACCCTTGAACTGCCCTTTCGGTATTACGTAATTTCCAGTTGTCTTAAATTAAGAAAATTGCAACTTTAAATGAAAATGTATAAATAACGATCCAAATTACTTACCTTAGATTAATTTACGAAAATACCCTTAAAGATCAAAACAAGATGTTAGATAATAAAATAAATAAAAAGTATATAATAATAATAATATGGAAAAAAATAAAATTAAGAAAACTAAAATAAAGGAAATAAATAAAACAAAAAAGAATAAACATAAAAAAATAAAAACAAATACAAAGAATGCTAATAATAATAATAATAGTTATAATAAAAAATAAATAAAATAAAATATAGATATAAAATTTTAAAAAAAAAGTGTAAAGAAGATACCCCATCACTTCAACGAAAGGGATGGGGAAATTTAGGTCATAGGACAAAAAGGGGCCCCCCTAGAAGACAAACCTGTAATGCATATATATATATAATAAGATATGATATATAATAAAAAATAAATTAAAAATAAAATTAAAAAAAACTAAAAAATATAGATATATAATGGTACTTAAAAAAGTAAAAAAATGAAAATATATATATAGAATAAAAAGAAAATAATAATAGGAATAATAATAATAGAATTAATAAAAAAATAAATAAATAAATAAAATATATAATAAGAAATAAAATAAAATAAAACACACAAATAAAAAAAAATTAAAAAAAATTAAAAAAAATTAAAAAATTTAAAAAATCAATAATAATGTATAAACAAAATAATAAAAACTAATAGAAAAAATGAAAATAGAAAAAATAATAAATAAATAAAAATAATAAAAGGATTAAATTGAAAGGAAAATAAAATTGGGGGTGAATTTAAAAGGAATTTGAGATCGAATTTGATTATGGGGGGTCAAATTGAACACTTAAAAACAGAGAGGACCCAAAATGGGATTTCCCCTTATCCTTTAAAAACACGCGGGTCGTGTTACCCGTGAGTCGGGTCAAGGGTGGTCCAACGGGTCGTATAATGGGTACTATAAATACCACTTCCCACAAACAAAATTCATTTTTCCCTCTATAGCCAAATAGATCAAACAAACCTCCCTCATCTTCTCTGAATGTTCTTGCGTGTTCATCAGGCGGATGAACACGCCGCCGTGTTTTCCAGAACAAGACCACTTGTCGGCTGCCATTGATCGGCGAATTTTATTTTTTTTTACTTTTTCGAATGCTTTTCAAATTTCCTCTTTAAAAACAAATTTTTTTTTTCAAAAATCGTCTCGGAAAAGCGTAGATCTAGGAAAAAGGTTTCTACCACTTCCCCCTCCTTTCACCGGCGGTTGGGTTTTAAACTCAACAAAGACAAAATGCAAGCCAAGAACGAATCAAAAAGGTAAGAAAAATAATACCTTTGTTTTTATTTCCCTTTCGAAAAAACCTTACATATGTTTCGATCTCTCTGCGTATTTCGTATGGTTTTTCATGTGGATTTGTGTGTAATATCGTGTCTATCGTGTGTGTAATCCCTTGTGTAATATTGCGTAAATTTCAGTGTAAGTTTACATCAATTTATAGGAGTGAAATCCTATTTTTAGACTCGGTTATAAAGTCCTAATCGTTTGTTGCTTGGTTGTGAATGAGTCCCATGTACCCACGCTGTTGATGGCCGAGAAAATCGGCGGTAGACCCGTGTTGGAGGCGGCTCCACGGTGCTGTGGAGATGCGGTGCTTGTGAAGAATAGTTTGAAACCCTAATTTTGCTCTAGGATTTCAAACCGGGTCGTGGGGCTCCAGTGGAGCGATTCGCGGGTAGCTGGTCCACTGGATCTGGTTCGGGCTCTATCTGAGTCGCGTGTTGAAATCGGGTCGCAGGTTGGTCTTGGTTTTTGGGCCACTTGTTGGGTTGTTGAACTTGTAAACGGGCTTGTAATGTTGTAACGGGTTTGTGGTGTTGGGTCATGCTATTTTGGGCCTGAAAATGTAATAAAAATGAAGTGTAAATATATATATATAAAATATAATAACACAAATGTGTTGGACAAAATTTAGTGTCTTCAGAAAGGATCAAACAAAAAAAAATCACATATTCGAACATAATATTTTATCAGGTTTTCAGAGGGAAGGAAGTTTCACTATCTTCTATTTGTAGTTTTGTACAACATGCAATGATACACATCCCAAAAAAACTTGATCATGATCATGCAAATGAATAATTACAGGTTTTACAATTTAAATTCCACATTCTCTTATTCCTACCTTAGATACAGAGAAATCAAGAACTGCGAGAAGAGTATGAATTCACTAACAACGGTAGCCGGAGAGTGTATTCCGAGAAACGGGACAACATCTACCTGCAACCAGTTTTCAACAGCTGATCCCACCACTGCACTAGCAACAAGCCCCCCTTATAGTAATCAATGTAGCCTTGCCTGTAAAGATTTGGAGGACATGAATTAAGATGATTTTCCAAACAGAAGTTTAAACAAATTCGAAAATTGTACAATTATTCCGTGTAATCTATAATCATGCTTTGGCAGAAAGGGCCAAAAAGTTCCAATGGCATGCCAACTTCCTTCGCCTTTCAAGGACTTCAATAGCATAGCCTAAGTTCGATTTGAGGAAAACAGAAAAGGAATGCTCAAATAGAGAAATGAGCTAAAAATTCTGATAAATCACTGGACTGGGACAAAGAAGAGTTAGAAATACAGAATGATTATAAAACCACTACAAATCTTCTTCTATACATTATAAAATGAAATTCGGAAGTCTTTTAGTAATGTGTTTCGCAAGCAATACCCTGCAAAATATAAGCCGCTAAATAAAAATTAAGTTAAATTTGTAGTTAACTGCCAGCATCATATATACACATTTCACCATTATATACAATGTTTTCACTCAGTAAGAAGCAGCAGCAGCAGCCCGAAAGCCCATGGGTTCTTCTGCTCTTCTCTTTTACTCTCCCTTCATCGTTTCTTTCGTTTAGATGGAAAAAACAAACGCGTACCAAGTAGCAATTACTGGACTTTCAAGTTTGACAAAAGTAACATATAATTAAAAATTTTACAGCACGCAATATAAACCATATGCAAGAAACCTCATTACCTAACTTCACATTCTTTCTGGTCATAAAGTGCAAGGAAGCTCCAAAGCTACTTACTAAGATAAGCCCCGGAACATCTGCTCCGGCGTAAGGAATCACGAAGGACTCATTCACATAAGTTAGAACCATAAGAGCTCCATATACACCAGCTTGTATGCCCAATTCACTAGAAACTGGAGTTTCAACTGAAACAGGTAAATTCTTCAGAGTTGTTTGCACCCACCGAGGCATTGATTGCACCCCGGGAGGATTAACAGGTTTAACATCAGCATATATAATTCTTCTGTCCACGACATTCTCCGCTCGTCGTTGGGTTAAGCTCCGCATGAGCAGCATATCATATGCAGCCTCAACCTAAAATATAAACAAAAAACTAAAGACAACCATAGGGGATCCAGTTTCGAAAACATACAGTTCATATTTATCAGGGGAAAAAATCAACCACCATGGATGAACCACCATAAGCATCATAATTCACTTCATGGAAACAATATAACAAGCATTTTTCTAATCTAGAAAATGTGAAATTCCCATGAAACACTACCCTAGTAGATAGAACACTAACAAATGGCAAATTACATGCTATAAAGAACACTTTTTTTCTTTTCCTTTTTTGGATGGTTAGCCATAAAGAAAAATAATTACTCCAAATCGGCGCAATAAAATCAAATCCAGGCAACCGACACAAAGTAAAAACTCAAATCCCAATTTTGAGAACAGAAATAAATGCAAGAGAAATGTTAACAGTAGCAAAATGAACAAATCTCATAGTTATCAAAACCGGACCGGACCAGCCAGTTCAACCGGTTGAACCGTGAACCAGTGGCCTGTCCGGTCCAGTTACCTCACAAAACCAGTATGGCAATGAACCGACTGAAAACCGGTAGAACCGACTGAAAATAGATAAAACCGGGGTAAACCGACTGAAAACCGGCAAAATCGGTTTGAACCACTGGTTCACTTTTTTTCTTTAAAAAAAATTAAACCAACCGACGTCGTTTGTTCAACGAGCCGAGTCAAATTCGAGTATTGCTAAGCTCGACTCGAACTCTAAAACTTTAAAAGTAAGCTCAACTCAACTCAAAAGCTCACGAGCTAAAAATTATCAAGTTCAACTCGAAATCGAAATATAATATTAAAACTTGAACTCGAAAAGGCTCAAACTCAAAAAAAAATTAGAGGTTCGATTGAAGCCTAAAATTTGAGCTCAATTGAAGCGAAAGAATAGTTCGCTCTATGCTCACCAAAAGGCTCCATGATTTTGAATGTCAAATTACTTCTATTATTTATAGAAGTAAGTTGAGATGCTCTTCTATGTTTCTTAGCCATGTGAGATTGTTTTGTTCTCATATTTTCTCTTTAAACTTTTGTGATGCTCTTCTATGTTTCTTAGCCATGTGGGATTGTTTTTTTTAAAAAAATTAAACCAAATGACATCATTTATTATGAGTTTTTAAGCCCCAATTTTATTTTTTTGATTATAGTTATATAATTATATTTATTATTTAATATGTTTTACCTTAAATATTATGTTGTAGTTGATTTGAATCATTTTGTTTCACTTGATTTTATGGTTTTTAATTTATATATGTTATGACTTGTGATATTGTTATACCTTTTAATATTGTAAACTTAAAAAAAGTGTTACATATATATTAATATTGCTTTGAATATTATGTAAAATTAAAAAAATATTATTTTATATAAAATCCGGTTTAACCGCGGTTGAATCCGGTTTAACCAGTGAACCAGTACCTTCACCGGTTCAATGTCCGGTCCGATTTTAAAAACATTGACAAATCTACACACACCAAAGTTCAATATTTAATTACCCAAATCTTTCAAACTTTAGAAATTTCTCAAATTAAAAATTGAATGGCAAGGAATTAACCTGACCAATAGCTTTTCCCGACAAAAACCATGTTGTGCATGAGTAAATGGTTTATGCTGACACCTTTTATGTCAAACATATATAGTAAGAGAGTTGGGATTTTTCCCTCCCGATTTCAAGGTTTCATTTTAATTAATCCGGATCGATCCGTGTTGCACACCTAATTTTTGTGGGCGAATCTCTCACCAGGGATTTTCTGTATATACAAGGACTCGAACTCGAAATCTTACTTAAGCGAAATCAAGCTGCTTACCACTTGAACTAACTCATGTTTGGTTTGGTAGAGTTTGCATTTTTTTTGACAGAGCTGATTCTGTTCGAGCCCATGTTTATGGAGGAGGAGACAACACCATTAAAAGAAATGACAAGAGGAAGAAAGTTGTGGTTGGGCTGCTCACCATCTCTGCAATCAAGTTCTTACTATATTTGCTTAGAGGGAAATGTTGCCTTTGATTAGCTTTCAGTTTTAGGATGTTTGTTTCATGGATTTAGTATTACCGAAAATATTATGAAGAATGTAATAATTTATGTTGTAATCGAAAATATTACGAAAAATATTATATTTTAAGTTTCATCTAACCTAAAATGTTATCATTTTTAATCATATTTTCGATAACGTCTCATTTCCGTCGTTTTTAAACTTAAATTATAGGTTGTGCCGCAGAACTGCCCAAGTAAATTGTTAAGTCATGATGACATGACTGTCCTACCAAAACGAAGTCAAATTATTTATAATTTACGTTACAAAATTAAAATATTATTTACAATATAAATATTAAGGTAAACTACACTAGATATCATTAAACTTTAGATGGTATGCCATTTATATCACCGAACTTTTGAAATTTTCAATTATAACACTAAATTTCAAGGTTTGACTTCAATTATGCCACTGGGCTGTTAAAATCCAAATTGTGTGATGACAAGGACAAAATGACGTCATTTTGGTGAGACTATTGATGCCTAAAAAGGTGTCAATTTAGGCACTAAACTTTAGGTGCGTATCAATTTTTCCACTAAACTTTTAAACAATTCACTTTTTGGTATTATACTTTTTTGGCCGTTGCCGACAACCAATCACCGACCATCACTAGTCATCTTTTGTGAGAAGATCGGTACCAAAACATTCATATTCCACTCATCTTTGTTTTCTTAGGATTTATTTTCCACAAAACCTATTGAAATCAGTAAAATTAAAAAAAAATCAACCACTTTTAATGGTTTGGGGGATTTCTTAGATTTGAGAGGTTTGTTTGAAAATTCGAACGGTGAAAAAATTATTTCGAGGAGATGAATAACATATCTCAAAACTAGCCTCATTAGATGACTGTTAGAGGAGATTAGAGTATTAGCATGTCGAACCTTTAAATGTATTTCCATATATTTTGATTGGGTTTCTTAGAAAATCAATCTTAAGAGAAGAAAGAGGAGTGTAATGTGAACGTTTTGATATTGATATTGCAATGAAAGTCGACCAGAGACGAGCGATGATTGGTTGCCAATGATGATTGAAAAAAATTTAAAGCCAAAAAATTATCCTTTTTAAAGTTTAGTGGCAAAATCTTTACACCCATAAAGTTCACTATCTAAAACGATGTCATTTTAGATATCAATAGTCGTGCTAAAACAACATCATTTTGTTCACGTCATCATAGTGACGGAGAGATTTGTCCATGTCAGCTTGTCATTAAATTTAATGGTCTAGTGACATAATTGAAGTAAAAACCAAAGTTTATTGCTATAATTGGAGAAATTGAAATTTTAGTAGTATAAACGATAAATCACCGAAAGTTCAGTGATATTTAGTGTAGATTACCCTAAATAATATTAATGTATACAAAATATTATTTATATATTGATATATGATATAAATATATTTTGAATAATATTAATATATATAAATAATATATTTTTTATATAATTTAAGATAAAAACTAAATTATCACAAAACCCTTTAAAAAATTCCTAGATCTCTAATCTCTAATCCTTAAACTCATAAATCCACTCACTGTCTTCGTCCATAGCCACATTGTTTCCTACTAAAGTATTTTCCTCTCGTTGTGCACGTAATTCTCCGTTCGGCAGTCTATCATTCACGATTCGTCCATTGATCGTTCATCGTTTGATTAGAATTTTTCACATTCGACATTTGACAATCAATTGACATGTTGTTCATTGATTTCCAGCAACAAGAGAGTGAGATAATTAATACGGAGGGTCCAATGATAGAAGGAGTACACAATGGCGGTTGATTCAACGACCACAGTGAGTGAAATTATGATTTTGAGATTTAGATTTTTTTTTAGGAAATTTTGGAATTTATGAGATTTTTTTTTTGAAATTTCATGAATTTAGAGGTTTTTTTAAATTATTATTTTTATTATAAGACATATATTAAATATATTATATTATTTATTATATAAAAGTATTATATATATCAAGATATTAATATTAATATTATTTATAATTTATTAATATTATTATTAATATTATTTATAATACATTAATATTATATATTAATATATAATTTTTTGCATATAATAATTTTTATAACATAAATTATAAATACACGATTTGAAATCTATATTATTTTTGTTAGATTTCATTTTGGTGTGGCAGCCACATTAACCATGTCACCGTTCTTGTTAACAGTGTAATGACTTAGTGATATAGTTGAAACAAAAATCAAGATTTAGTGCTATAATTGAAGAGATTAAAAGTTCAATTGTATAAATGGTGCAACGCATAAAGTTTAGTGGTATCTAGTGTAATCTATCCAAATTAATTATATCACAATTGTTATTCAATTTTTTTTATATAAAATAAAAAGAATGAAACAATAAGAAGACCAAGAGATATGAGATCATAAGAAGAGAATTATGCATTATTATATCAATATGACTTGTGTATGACGTTTTCTCTAAACTCTATATTTATATGTATAAGGATTAAATATTATAAAGAATTCTAATTCTAATTGTAAACACTAATTTTTTTCATTTTATTATTATTATAATTATTTTTATAAATATTATTATTATTATTATTAATATTATTATAAATAATATTATTATTACATGCCAAATACAATAACCCGGAGCCCAAATTACAAAGGAAGCCCAAACAGACCCAAATTACAGTCCACCCGGTCTAGAACCTGGAGGCCCAGATCTAGACCCGGTCCAGACCTGACCCGATCCAACAAACCCAACTAGGGTTTTTGCTCATCTTCTCCAGCGCCGTCAGCAAGTTCAACTGTTGGATCTGTAGAGATCCAACGACCTAGATTAAGTGCAGCATAAACCCTAGGGTTCACCAGCCCTAGGGTGATTTCGGCGCCGTCGTGCCTTTCCAACTGCTCCGCTGCCTTCTCTCCAACCACTCTGCCGCCATGTTCTCCAAGCATTTGTTACCACGACTCCGCCGCCACACCGAAGGCAAGAAGTGATTTAAATCGCACACTTCACGACTCTATGGTGAGTCACCATCATAGATCCGGTGACTCACCATAGATTCATCAAATAAACACCATTATCGAGGCCTA